GGTCGAAAAAATTATTTATAAAAACCTTCTCCGGATAGATTCTTTGGACAGAGATTCGTCCAAGAAGAAATATAAACGAAGCGTTTTCCTTTTTATATCTCACCGAGATATCCCGAGATTCTTGTTATTTCGAAGAGTTTCGAAATCGCGAAACGCTGAGAAATTCGATAGTTGTTACGCGGATTCTTGAAACGGATAACTCGTGGAACGCATCGTTCGAACCGATCTGAATTCGGCGTATCGTACGCTGGTTTCGCGTATTAAACGACTTTTGCACGCCAAACGTTTTACAACCGATAATTTCATTCCCCGATTTCATGCCGCACTCGTGTTATATTTTCCGTGGAGGAAAGATTCTTGCGTGCTAATTTTCGTCACAACCTTTCCGCCGCGTTTTCAGCTTTGCGATTTTTTTACTATTTTTTTTTTTCTTTTTCTTTTTTTTTTTTTTTTTTTCCTAGCACGAACGAGGCAACCTGCTAGTTTGCGCGACGCGAACCGCATGCATTGTACGCGATGCACGCGCGACAATGCACCATCCGCAATGTTCAGTTACACGAGTAATTTGACCGTGTAGCTCGCACGGTTTCCGCATATTTTCTTCCACCCTGTGGTTTCACGATAGCGCGAAAATAGAAGGCCAAAAGGCCGAAGAGGAGTTTTTTTCGCCAACTTTCGAAAAAAGGGGAACAATGATCGAGATGGCTTTGGGGGAGAGGAATTGACGAGAAAGAATGTTCTCGTTTCCACGGCTCTCGCTATTTCTTTTTATTTTCTCTCTGATATATCCTGATATATCTGATATATCATCCTATTTCTTACCGATTTCTTCGAAAAAATGGGGCACGCGAAAATGAGATTTTGCAAAAAAAAAGAAATAGATCTTGTTCGTTTCGTGGTTCGTATCGTTCGAGGGAGGATAAAAATAGAATAGAAATAATTATTCAAAGTGTAATATATATAAAGACACTATAATCTAGATTATGAAAATATATCCCTCGAAAAAGAAGGAACTCTTTCTGAACAAACGTGTAACAAATGTTTGTCCATGGCATGATAAAAAAACTTAATTAACATACCGACGTGTAATGGAATTCGGACATCGATCCCGTTCGAAGGCAAGCTTGAAAAGTCAAAGCTTGGTTGAATCGCGTGAAATCGCAAAGGGTGAAACTACATTCCACGGAGGGTGTAAATTAATATCGGATGGATGGAAATTTATGGCTCGATTTTTTTTCCNCTCTCTTTCTTATTTTTTTTTTTTTTTATTATCTCAGCCAAAGAAACCGCGTGGCAGAATTAGAAAATTTTTCCACCAATCACGTTTCTAATCGGATCAGGGATCACGGCAATCGTGGAAACACGTGTATATCACGTTGTTGCGAAGTAAATGTTATTCGATAGATGTCGTGATAGGAATTTCGATGCAACGATGTATGTATTTCTCTATCCTTCGAATAGATTTAAAAAGTGAGACCGTTACAAGACCTAAGCTAGAGAAATCCTCGAGACACCTGTTGATCGTTCTCGTTAAAGTTTGAAGGAACCGACCTGGACTAGCCTGGACACGCGAGCTGAAAGACGATTGCTGCGCTGACGTGGAAGAAAAAAATTGGCGATATTTCCTCACGAGCGAATTTTCCCGCCTCGTCACGGAACACATACCAATTTTCACCGCTTATTTTTCCATCTAACCTCTCGCTCGAATTTATATTTTCATTCATAAATCGTTCGAATAATCGAATTCGAATCGTCGACATTCAAATTCATAAATTTAAGCCCGATTCTTTTTCTTTTCTTCTTCTTCTTCTTCTTTCAATTGTAAAACAAGTTTCGATGATATCGCAGTTTCATTTATCGTTCCTACATTTTCCTGTGACGTCCCAAGACGGGGTTCTAGTTTATTTAAACCGAAAAATATTTACAGTGACAATAGGGCCATTGTATTATTATTTTTTTCTTTTTTTTCTTTTTCCCCTTCTCTCTACGATGCCCCAGTAATTTTTATCAACGGCGTATACGCTCGCTCTTCCCGTGTTTTATCGAAAAATATCGTGGAAAGGGTAAAACGGAGTGTAACAAACGGGGATGCAAGCTTTTTTTCGAATTCGAAAGCGAGCAGCGAATACGAGAGCATCGAGAAAAAGAAATAGGGGGGAATAAGAGTTTACAATCCCAGTTCGATACATTCGAAGTATCCAATCGAATCAAATTTTACAAATTCGAGAGAAAGATTTTGCTCGGCATTTTTTAATTCGAGATAAAAATGTAAACGAAAATGTTTTACTGTGAAAGTTGTCTCTCCGCGTGAAAATATAACGTATCGAATGCGAATCGGAAAGAAAAAGAAGGAGGACCGTCCCCTTCACACTCGAGGTTCGATCAATTTCGATGAAGGCGTTATATATTTGAATTCGAATATATATTTAACGGAACGCGATTAAAATTACGAATCAAGCCGCAAATGAAAATACGAATACGGGGAGAGATAGAGGGAGGAGCAGGCGGAAGAAAAAAAGACGGAGGGATTTAATTTAAATCGAGATAATTAACGGGGAAAATGTGGAAACGCGGCCCTGTTATAATTTCATCGGGAAAATCGCGTGTTCATAGTTCGAGCCGCGTAAAATAATAATTATTCTTCTAACGAAGCTTATTCGTTATCCCCATGCATTCACAATGCAATCGGGAAAAATCGGTTAATCAGCCGAGCGTTCCTTTCGATTTCACCGATTGATGAAAATCCAAAATACTCCAAAAAAGAAAACTCTTTCTTTTTGAATATTTACGAAAAGAGAAAATGTCCATCAAGTTCGTTGTGATCACGTGGTGATCACAGGGTAACCACGCCTGTGTTAATTTTTTCAAAGCGGCTGGATAATTGTTGCCCTCCAGTGATCTCTCCCTCCACAGAGAAGAGAGACAGAGGGCACTTACGAAAGAGGGCACCAGTTCGATTCATCGGCCCTTTTTTGCATCTATTCAGATTGGATCACGATGGATCAAAGTCGCATTCGACGACATTCGACCACCTAACGACTCGCCGGACCACCGGCTGCGTAACTAAGATTACGCTGATTGTCAGCTGTCCGCGTCCGAAAACGAAATGAAAATACCATTTGACATAGATTTCGCTTCGCGAGCAGAAAATAGAGGAAGAGAGAGAGACAGAGAGAGATCAGAAGCGGACAGACCGAATTTTTCCATTGCTCCTACATACCACCCTTAATTAATCCAGATACTTCTACTAAGAGACAATAAAATTCGATCCGAATTTTATCTCCACCCGGAGATAATATTAATATTTTCGAAACCGTGTAGAGTTTC